AAATATATAAATATATAAATATATCTAATGTATATACATCACGAATGAAAGCAACAGAATTGTAAAGATCCAGGTGGTATTCTAAGAACGCTGCTTGGAAGGAGAGGCAGCTGTGTTGAAAACAGAATAGAGGTGCCTCCCTTGAAACATGTGGATGTGCGTGAGGGGAGGGGGGAGGGGGGAGGGCTCAGAAATTGGGGCTCCCTTGTTTTTGTCGTCCTCTTCTTTTCCCATTGGTCCCCAGGGGTGGGGCAATACCTGTAGCAGCTAGATGGTTGAGGGGCCTTGGGAAATGAGTCATTGGAGGAAGCCACATGTCCAGAATCATAGCCGCCCTTGTCCTTGTGTGAAGAGACAAGGGCTGGTGTGGGAAGACGTTGCAGCTGAAACACAGGCACTTCAGAGGGCCTGTTTGGCAGAGGATAACCTGCTGAAGGGATCCAGCCACCATCCCCTTCCTCTCTGCCAACTGGGGTGGGTTTTTTGTAGTTAATTTTCTGCTGCAGAGGCTGCTCCCCAGAGTTTTCCTGTAGGCCACAGGAGAATCTGGAAAGAAATAGTGGAATGATGCAAAATGCCTCTGTTAGACGGTTTGGGGGCTTTCCTCTTCAGATAGCATGTTGAGTTTGGCCCACAACTTTGTGTACACATAAGAAGTCTATTTTTGCTCTGATGTCTTGGACAGGAGTTAATTAATATATGTGCACTCTAACAAAATAATTTTGATAGCCAGCTCTTTCTCCCTGTGCAGGCTGGAGCTTTTTTTCTTGCTGGTGTTCTGTTCTGTTTTTTTCCTTAAGAAGGGGGAAGATGCTCTAACTTGGGTATAAATTTTCATCCACACTCCCCTACTTTGGCCTATTGAAACTTTCATGATGGCTGCAACAGGTACATCCCAAATCACTGAAACTTGTATCTTAAGTACCATGAACTTAAATCTCTTCTTGCACTCCTTCCCTCCCTCCCTCCCTCCCTTTTTTCAGAAAAATTTTCCCCCTTCAACTCTCAAGCTGATTCCCTTTAAAAAGGACAATGTTTAAGCATTGGGGAGGCTAATCCAGAAGGGAAACAGCTTAAATTTTCAAAGGCATATGCATCAGAGAGACATGAGCTATTCCAGAAGATGGATCTGTTGAAGGAAGGCTCCTGAATGCTCCCTTCAGTCCAGTGGCAGGCCAAGAGTTGAGGTTCTACATTTTTTAGGTTTTAAAATCAGAATCTTGCTTAAACAGGTTGAAGGTTTTTTATTAATTTAAAAATAAAAAAAAAACACTTTTTTAATCTAACTGGTCCTTGTTTTCTTTCCTTTCAGTCCTTTGTTGCTATAGACCCTAAACATAAAAGTAGCTGATGTCTCTTAGATCTCATAATTAAGAATGTATAAGAAGGCAACATGTAACATTGCAACTGCCACCTGAGTTCATGAATATAAGTCAACAGTTGTCAGCATTATATTTGCATTCCTTCAGAATTGCTGTTGTGTTACAGATTTAAAAAAGAAACACTTTGATGCCACATTCTTAAGCCTAAACAGTTTAACAGAGCAATCCTGCCAAGAGGTGTCAGGAAGAGCCAAAGGTGAAGAAACTGCATTACCCAGTAACCTAACAGAGAGGGCCAGAGGGAGGGGTGGCACTTTGCTCTTGTTTCATTGTTGAGTTGTTGGGGTTTTTTTTCTTTTAAAAAGTTTCCCGTGGTTTCACCAGGAAGCAAACAATTTGTGCTACTTCCAGAGCTGACCTCATTGTTTCCCCAGAGTCTAGAGTGACATCTTGTAGAGATTGAGAGCTTCCCTTAGCAACACAAGGGGTGCAGTGGGCGCCTTAAAGTTCCTTGAGTGTTAAAAACTCATTTCACCCCTTAAAACCAGCCCTCCACTCTACCTACCCCACCCAAAGAAGAAAGTTGGGTTTGAGAATTTCAGCCTCACCACTTGGGGGGGCATTTTGGCTTCAACATAAAGAGACAACATGCATGAGCCCATATGTTGTCAATTGTCCACCTCTGAAAGGGATCCCCAGTATTTTCAGACCAGTGGCATCTCTAGCAATTCTGAGTGGGTATGAAGGGTACCGTCAGACCAGCTGCCTTCATAGGTGTGGCCAATCACAAAATGTCTTTGTACTGGAAGGCAAACAAAGCCTTGAGCTACAACCCTCTCACCACTATATTTTCTAAGAATCCTTCTGGGAATTAGGTGGGGCCCAGAAGCATTATTGGAAGTGCAGGTTATGCTTGAGGCTGGTGAGTGTGCCAGCTTCCTGTTCATTATTTTTATTTCAAAGCATATAAAATTTGGTAGAGAAGGGATTTTGGCAAGTGCCGAGGATCTTGTTGGCAGGCAAGCTCTTGTCCCCAGGCAACATGTTGGAGTCCAGAGGTGATAACGTTAGAATAAGATGGGGAGAGCCAGGTTCAGCCGTGGAGTTACTGTTTCTCAGCCAAAGTTAAATTTCAATAATGTTAACATTTTGCCTAATCATTTTACGTCGGTTGAAAGGTGATTTTGGTGACCTGGATTTAACACAAGGCCTGACAGCATGGTTCTAAGGCAACAGTAATAACTGAATGAACAGGAGCAGAGCTTTGATTCTCAGCTCCATTCATCTGTGGCTTGAAATGAATGCTATCAACCATGAGCTCATCAAGTAGGCCAAGAGGGCTGAAAGCTATAGCTTGGCTGACTTCTGAAATGTTTGCAGCATCTGTTGCCCAGGTGCTTCAAGTGAAAGGTTTTGCCCCATAACATGGGGCAGAAAGGACCATTTTCTGTAACTGCATGTTTTCTCCTAGGAAGAACAATAATGGAGTCGGCACTGCTTGTTGACATACATATCCTGATGTGCGTTTTTCACTTGTTCTGTCATTCAGTTAGGATCATGGAGATAGGAGAATGGGAATATGCTCAGAGGTATCTTTTCTACTTCATGGTCTGCCTCTCATACCAAGGACCATGCTGAATTGTATGGCTTCCCACCCACAATGGAGATCTCTCTGCAAACTGCAGAACTTCTGCCTTGTTGGATGCAAAACAGCTACCTGGGTGTTACAAGCAGTTAGACTGAGCTGAATGTCCCCATTTCCTTCCCCCCTCTCTCACACACAACACATGCATGGATCAAATTGCAACGGAAGCTTCAATGGATATAAAATGTGGCAGCAAGGGAGCTAACCAGTGTTTGTTACCATGATCACATGATGCTTTGAGCTGCTGATGTTCACATGTCTTTAAGGAAGATGTTTCCTTACTCTACTCACAAAGGAGATTCAAGATGAATCATTGCTGATAAAGTAGAATGCAACACAGCATGTAAACAAGAGTTAACTGGGCAGCTGTTTGTTTATTTTTCAAATTTATATATGCTACCCATCTCACTATACAAGTGACTCTAGGTGGCATTACAGATTAAAAACTATAAAATCCTTAATATATAAAGTATATAGTTAAAAACTACAAAATATTAAAATTAAGCCAAAAAGTTAAAACTACAATGACAGCTGTTGCTAATGTACCGCTTATTGCCCCTTGAAAGCATCAGTGAGAGGCTGTGGCAAACGGTATTTCAGGAAGGAAAGAAGAATAGAGCTGGCTGCTTTGTTGAACTCAATCTAAGGGTAAAATGGCATGGATCGCTTTAGTCAACCAGGCTTATGCTGTAGAAATATACCAAATTTCCACTTAAAAAAGAGAGAAAAATGTAATTACACAAGCATTAAAGAGTTGACCAAGAATATGCACACACTGACGGGACTTGTGATAAATTGATGCAATTCAGAGTGCCTCAGTTTAGGATCCCAGCCAGCCAAACAACACCATTGTCTGGCATATCCCTTTCTGTATGTCACTCTGCATCTAGTTGCATCCTTCTTCCCTTTAAATTAATTCAGTATTTTGTGGCCATTGAGCATTTTCAGGCCATTTTGGGTCATTTGGGGCTTCTCCCATCTATCAATGTCTTCTTTTTCTAAGCTGATTTTTACTTCAATGTTTCCTGAAGCCTGGTAATTTCTATCTTCTAATTCTCTCTCCCTGTCCCTTGCATTTGAATTACTATTAGAATAGAAGTGGTACTGCATCTAAATGGTAATATTGCAGCTTTCTCTGCACATCTTGCTGCAAGTGTGTGCGTGAGAGAGAATCTTCCTTACTGTAATATTCAGTGTCATGATTATGATGTCATAGATGGGGAATTATTGCTGAGAGCAATTTCCTGGAGATTAAAGTTTGAAATTCTAATCCAACTGTTTAGAAGTATCAGGCTGTTAAAACAATATTGACTCCAGGTGCATTACAAGAGAAATATATTTAGAATTACACCCCATGAGATTTTGTAACTGACCTTCCAAAGCATCAGAAAAGTACTATGTAGAACAGAAGGCCCAATTTCAAAACCAGTTGATTGCCAAGTGGTGAGCATCCATGCTTACAAGTAAGAGAGAACAAGTTTCCTAGGTAACTGAAAATTTGATAGATAAACTTCAGAATGAGCAAATGTGATAATAGAGTAGATGCTTCATCAGTGATAAATGTTTATGGTAGGTAATAGACTATAGAATGGATCCTG